ATCATCATTATTATCATCATCATCATCAGCAGCAGTAGCAGTAGTAGTAGCAGCAGCAGTAGTAGGAGTAGTATAAGGTCTATTGACCCCCCCCCATCTCCTTCTTCTTTCACACCCCTATAACTGTTTTGTCTTCTTATAGGGTCCTATTAAGTTCACAAAGACTCTGAAAAACCCCTGTTGGTGGGAGGGAGAGACACTGCGCTGCTTGCCCTTCTTCTACGTGGCTGGGTTCAGCAAAAGTGGGACAACTGACCTAATTTCTCGCATGAACAGTCATCCGGAGGTGAAAGTTATAAAAAAGGAGAAGCACTGGCTGGACTACTTTAGATATATGGATACATTCAGTAAGTCATACTATTGTTCTGTGTTTCATTTTCTTTTTTTGGGGTCTTTTTTGGGTCTTTTTGCCTCTTTGTCCATGTGTCGGTCTGTCTGTCTGTTTGTTTTTGCTGTGACATTTAAATTCTAAGCACTCTCTCTTTTTTTCTCCCTCACTTCTCGGAATAATATCTTACAAAAAGCTCACCTTCATTTCACACATAAAAGACCTTCGTGTGAGGCGCCACAAAGGTTTCAAGAACGCCTTAAAAATTCTGTTTCATTTAGAGTGGGGCGGGGACTCAAAACACCTTCTCTACCTTTACTGTTCCCTCGTCTGATCCAGGCTTGACTACAGCTATCAAGTCTTTGGATCGTCAAAACCCCACATCCTAAAAATGCTAGACCCAGTACAAAACCAAAGACTCTGCCTGGTCCTGGGGGCTTTCCGCACTTCTCCAGTGGAGAGCCTTCAGGCTGAGGCAAACATACCATTACTAAAACTCAGACTTACACCACTACTACAATATACAGTTAATCAAAGCTCAACACCTGAGAACCCAGCACGACTGCATTTTTGGAATACACCCAGACGCAATTCACAAATTCAAAAACATTGACAAACTCATCAGATCTTTTGACCTCTGAGTCCTCGAAGGTCCAAGAAGACCTCAAAAACTTTGATTTCCCAAAAAAGACATAGAACAATGTCTATTCCCCGGCCTTCCTCCATGACACCTCATCAAAGCAAAAATGGGCCTAGAACTCACCACACGCAACAAAGCAAGAACAAACGACAATACAGTTAAAGCCGCATACAAAAAACTAATACATTTGTGAAAAAATACCCTGATAAAAAGCTAATCTTCAGAGCTGGCTCTAAGTGGGACTTTGCTGTGGGCGTCACTGCTCCGTCCCTAACAGTACATACTTAAGGACACTCCATCCCAAAACCTCCATTTTCTCTGCGGAGGCCACTGCCATTGACATGTACAAAAATCACCATAAAAATCCTTTCTTATTCTTTTTGATTATTTATCCTGCCTCACCTCACAAATTACACACTCAAACACCCCTGAATAATTAAGTTCGATAAAAAAACACACTCTTTAATGGAACAAGGAAAGAATATAGTGCTTGCATGGCTCCCCACCCATTTGGGCATCCGAGGAAACGAGCAGGTCGATCTCCTGGAAAAGGAATCCTTCTCCCTACTGTTGGGATGAGTGAAGAACACTCTCTCACAGACTGACTTCAATTTAAAAAAACTACAGGCTTCAGTCTGTGGGAGACTTATTGGAGTATACAAGTAAGAACAAACTTAACATCATGCCCAAACTGGGTCCACAAAAACTTTTGGGTGTTTCCAGAAGAGAATAAGTCATTTTTACTCAATTGCATAGATCAGATACACCTCCCTGACTCATGAGTACCTCCTGCAGGGAGATGCGAAATCTTTCAGTGTTGGATGTGACACAGATTTGATCCTTAGACACATATTTACAGAATGTCGGGACTTTGGAGAGACTCTAAGGAAGTGTTTTAAATGTACAAAATTACAAGATCTCTTCTCCGTCATTGATCCCAACAGAATTCTTGATTTTTATAAAGGCCATTGGACTTTACAATAAATTGAAAATACTGTTATTGTGTTAATATTATTTAAAATGTCAAGGCTGATATTTTTACCATGAATGTTTCACGTTTTAATCTGATCATTGACAAAAATCAAGCCATGCTGTGAACTGCTGTTAAAATGCAACCAACTTGTTTTTCGTGCTCTCGTATGATCTTATGCAGATGCAAGCGCCGTAAAATTACTAAACTAACCTCATTTTCTCTCTGGCTCTCTTTCTTTG